CCTTCTCGGATAGCAACGTCAACACTCGTCTTGGCCCTCGTGCCTCGACTTGTTTACGCTCCTGCATCCAATACACTCCGCTGGCTCGAGTGGATGGAAATATGAATCTTCTCGATAGACGCCTTTTTTTTTATCACTACTAGACTTATTTGGCACACGCACCACAATCGTTGTAATACTGAGCGACTTGATTTTTGCATGCATTAGTTGGCGCTTGGGATATTTTTGGCTGTGTGCTCAATGCATCACTCGCTTCTGGAGTTTTTAGCAATCATAGACGGCACCACAGTAGCCTGGCGGAATACCCACAAATACTTGATTTGTAGCATTAATAACCTGATCTAAGATCACCTTCTTCTTATTACTCATATTATCTTGTACTATTGCGCCTCAGTGTGACACTTGTATGATGCTGACAATGATGATCGTTATCATCATTCCATCTAATATGAGCAAGTAAGCCAGCCGGTCGAAGGGGCCGGTGCTGGAGAGACAGCCGCGGGCTCAAGGGTAGTTGCCGTGCACACCACCAACTTTTTTTTGTGGCTATCCGCTATCCGCTATCCGCCAAGTGCGCGGGGCCAACAATGAGAAGTCTCAGGTCTACTGTACGTACTATGGGTACAAGCGTTGCAGCGAGTGGAGCGGCTCGTCGACGGTTAGGCACACACACACACACACACACACACACATACATGGGACGAGGCCATATACGCATCCAACGTAGTGTACACGTACTCGTACACCTCCAACACATGACAAGCGCGTGGTGGCCCGTTTGGTGACGTCTACCTTACAAGTGCAAGAGGCAGCCAATACGGGGGGCCTGTCTAGTCAGGCCAACGCTGGCCCTTTGCATGTTCCTGACCCGCCCCTACCGAAAGCTTCCGCGTGACCGGTATATGCCTTGGAAGAATTCATATCCCGGCATGTGCAGTTGGAGTGCAGCAGTAGCAGTAGCAGTAGCAGTAGCAGTAGCAGTAGCAGTAGCAGTAGCAGTAGCAGTAGCAGTAGCAGTAGCAGTAGCAGTAGCAGTAGCAGTAGCAGTAGCAAACCCACAATGGGTCGGCGCACTTTGTCTATCGACGACGGCCATGTTGGAGTTGCAAGGCCAATAAGCATACCTGGACGTAGGTGCAGGCCCCCTCGTCAACTATAGTAGATACGCCTCGATGACTTTATTCTTACTAACAACGCATCATGGCCCCGCTAAGTCAGAGACTATTGCTACTCAAACGACGTACGGCGGTTTGCGAGCGTTGCACCATCTCACCGCTCATGATTGACTTGGTTACTCCACCTGCTTGCACGCCGATACATCCAAGTCGGACCAAGTGCTGAGTAGTGCGGTAGTGGTAGTGGTAATGGTAGCTGTCCTTTGTCTGCCTGTCTCGCTCTCTAACCTTCTCTCCATTGTCTTCGTCATGATACTGTGTAATTAGCCGTGGCGCATCCCGCGGTTGCAGACACCCACGTGAATGGCTAAAGCAGCGGCGGCAGCGCCACTACGCTTACTTGCTACATACTCTACTCACTACATGCTCGGCTTTGCTCTATTCTACTTACTGCCCGTCTGCCCGACTACGGGGCCCGCTCGTTCAGCCACGTTGTCTTAGCATGGCGGAGAAAGACACCCTGACTGCGTTTGATACTTGGGAATGAGCACACCACCAAGTCACACCCGCAACCCGGGTATCCTGGACAATGGGCGAGATGAGCGAGTGAACGAGGGCGAGGGCCGACGCCACAGTTGGCTGGTGGTGGTGGTCGGGCAATCACAGGGAGCGTGCGGCTGGGCTTGTCAATCCTTCCTCGTCTCAATCAGGTTTTTTCGAGTGATGTTTTGTGCTCGTCTATGCGCCATACCACTCTCGGCCCGCATTATTTGATTGTTGGAGCAGCAAAGTCGGAGGGCGCCTGTTAAGCGATTGGCTGAGGGGGTGCAGGACGACGTTGTAAGCCTGCATGTCCTCTGTGCACCCCCCCATGGTTCCAAATCTAGGAACAGGATACGCAATGTCAGACGTCAATCCATCCTTGAAGCAGCCAGACGAGGCGTTTGGGCTACGCCATCGTCTGACGCATCTACCCACTCCCCTCGCGTGTGCTTGTGTGTCAGTGTGCTGCTTCAGGCACACAATCACACACGCATGGCATGTGCATGCATCCAGCTGAATCCTCTGCTCTACTCACCATGGCTGCTTACTTCCGTACACACACACACACACACATGGCTTTTTTTTTTGCTTTTCTGTATCCCTGGCAGATCAATCTGACTCATACCCGTATTTCCACATCGCACCTCTTTGCATGCAGATCGTGGATCCCCTGCTTGCCATGCCTTAGTGTCGGTCCTGCTCATGATGCCTTTTTTGCTGTCTCCACACGCGCTAACTGCACTCTTCGCACCGACAGTCTGCCCAGACAAGTACCAAATCTTGCTCGACGCACCCGTCCTTCGGTCATTTGCTCATAACCGCCGCTCTCCTGACTCATTGACACGCCCATTACCAGCGGTGTACCCCAGCCTGCCACCGTCTCAACACCGACGCCGTTACGATTTGGCCGTCGTCTAGTCGACCAGAACCATATCGCCGGGTCTCGTCACACTACTGGACAGACGGTTTTTACAAAAAAATCCTGAGTGGCCGTTGTTTGCAGCGCTGCCATTGGCCAATGCAAAGGGAAGATCCGCCTTCAACTTTGCGCCTACTCATCCTCTCACCGCTTCCTTCACAAGCGAGAATCCGTCATCACACACGCTACGTATCGCCATCTATTTTTGCTCATGTGACTGGCTGGCATGATGCGCAACCTTCAAACTACGGCGCATGGGTACCAGCCCAAACAACATTCGTCATAATTTGCCCAGTCGCCGATACTCTCGGCGAAGACTTAAGGTTTTTTTCTCGTCTGTTGACGACCTTCACCGGTGTGGACATTACCATTCTGCCTATGTACCCTGCTGCAAAGCACTCCCACCGGCATTGACATCGTCGTCGACAACAACCACACATGTAACCCACTAAAGGCGCAAAGTTTTCCTACCTTTGTGCTTCAGCGCACGCAAATGGGACAAGCCGCGCGATCCAAGTGCAACATGAAGCATCCGATCCTTTTTGCACATCGCTTGCGCCATCTGTTTCGCAGGCACCCAGGCATTCGTGGATCAATATCTCCCACACAATGCACGCCGGGGTGGGACCCTGTCGATCAAACTGCAGCCTCCTGAACCTGCCGTTCATGCGCCTCGTCCGATGCGGTAATGCGGCCATCCATCTCCGGCTGTCCTGACCGTGACCTTACCCTTTTTCCGCCACTGCCGCTTTGTGCTTTTTTCCAACTCGCTCGCTGAACCCTGAAACACGGTCGCCGTGCTGACAATAGCAATCATCATCCCGCGCTTACTTGCTGGCCGTCCTGCGCTACCCATGATTCGCGTCCTCCCCTTTGCCACTCAGCCTCATCTTATTCCCCCACCTAAACTCCGTTTCCTTCGGACATTAAGTACGCTCCTGGGCTAAGCGACCGCAAACCTATTTCCCAAAACGGAATACAATGGCCCACTCTAGGATTCATGCCTCGGTTGTTGAATCCACTCTGGATTAGCCACCCCCAAAAAACTGGTCCCAACACGGCGAGGCTTGGACGGCCCCAGCGCATCACACCATCCGCGGGCGAACCAGGTCTTGCAAATGCTCTAATCGTGGCTGCCACACTCTAGGTTCCACTGGTGGATGCAGGCACATGTGCTGTACATACAATATGTACTTACATACTACATGGACATGGACATGTATCCGACATTTGTCCTGACAAGGGGTGGTATAGGGGGCCGAGTTTGCATATGAACATGAATGCAGCGTGGGATCTTCCTTGCCCAAAGAACCTATTTCTAGCCCATATAGCGCGGCATAGCCACGTCTTCCAATACACCATCAAACCTGCAAGTCAGCCAGAACGCCTAGCCATAAACTATGTGCACACATTTCTTGCACAAGGGGCCAGTTTGACAATGAGCCCGCTCCGTCTAACCGATCCCCATCTTTTCCCAGGTCCGAAACTCCGTCACACGTCGCATATAGTTATGTATGTACAGTAAGCTCTCTCCAGATTCGGTATCTGATACCAGGACTTCAGCCTGATATGGCTCTTTCCGAGCATCAGCTGCATTTTAACTTCCGCTACATGGACGCACTCTATCTGTATCACATGCATGCACGTAAGACGGAACAAAGAGCGACACAAAGGAATTGCAGCCTGTTGCCTTGTCCGATGCCAAGATGACGATAGGCCGAGCGCCTCATGGATCAAGAACGGACCCTAGAGGAGTGAGGAACTATGTGGCTGCTTACCGGCACGGTGGTTACCATGGCTGACTTGACATGCTGACCACCCATCTGACTCTTGACAATGCTTTGGAGTGGTTCCCTGGTATGGAGTGAACCGCTGGCTTGGTCTTGTCTCGGGCTAAACCAACATGGTTAATGCATTCTTCCTTTGGGAGCGCCATTCAAGGCACAGGCGTCGACTGTACGAGTTGGCAAGTAGGTAAAGTGTTTAGACTGAGCACGAGAAGAAATAGTGTCCAGAACGAGTCCTTGGCCCAGGTGAGAATAGGTGCGTGAGTATAGCTGGCATCTGCCAGCACACCATCTCTCTCTTTTTCCAGGTATTATGGCGGTTCGAAAGACGAGCGCTGCATCCACAGTTTCACGAACCTTCCCCGCTCCATGGCGACATCTAGGCGCGCAGCACTATCTCTCCAATTGTCGTCATTGTACCGCGCCAGTCTGACAAAACCTGCATCTTCTCTTCCATCCTACTCGCCAATATGCCCTCTTATCTTTCATGACAATTGTCGACTGGCTCAGCTTGCTCGCTGGGTTTGGCGAATGGGCTGCTGGCCGCAAGCCCGTGGCGAAGATAATGCCCTTCGCTTCAGTATTCTTGGTGCAACGAAAATAGCGTGCGTGATTGGATCTCTCTCATTTGTCGCCATGCAATGGATCTTCTCGAAGAGGAGGTATGAGTTAGACCTAACCTGCATTTTGTCAAGCAAATAGCCCCGCGGCGCTGATTGTCCCTGCACGATCCCGTGCCGATGTAATCGTCGTTGCGGTGGCAGCGCGAGACAAGGGAAAGGCAAAGGCATATGCAAAACGATGGGATATCCCCATTGTGCATGACAATTATGAGGGTGAGTTGAGTGCCTTTCTCACGTGCAAGAGATATACGTGAAAAAGTACAATCAAGTATATTGCAAGACTCACAAAGAATCCCAAACAGCTCTCATCGCCGACTCATCAATCGACTGCATATACAACCCCCTCTCAAATAACCTCCACTACGGCCCAACACTCGCAGCCCTCAAAGCAGGAAAATATGTCCTCCTTGGGAAACCATCCGTCTCCAACGCCCAAGAAGCGCGCTCGCTATTCCATCACGCCGTCCTCCAAAGCCCCCATGCACCCGTCCTACTAGAGGCAAGCCACTACCACTTCCACCCCGCCTGGCACCTCTTCCTCTCCCAATTCGACGCCACACACATCGAGCACGCCGACATCCGCGCCGCAGTCCCAGCCGGCTTCTTCCCCGGTCATGACATCCGCTTCAGCTTTGAACTCGAGGGGGGGCTGCGCCGCGGATCCAGGCCAATACATTTTGTCAGCCGTCCGCAGCATCTTTGGCAGCAAGCCCGTGGATGTAGTAGCTGCGACTACTCGGCTTATCACCCCGCTATTCGATCAGCGCTGCGATCAGGCTGTGCAGGCTACGTATGCATTTGCTAATGGTGGGACTGGAGCTATTTATGCGAATTTGGGGGCTAAGGATGGGTATGGATTTCCGTGGCTTACGGGCAACTGGCCTAGTTTCCATGATGCGGTGTCGAAGTGTGCGTGTGCGATTGCGGAGTGAGGTGCTAGATGGTGAGCATAATAGTGGTTGTGGAGAAGACGCGGGGCAAGACGGTTGCCTTGTGGAATTTCATGGTATCGGGTTGATGTCGAGACTGTTACGACAGTAAGGAAGGTGGGGTCGAGCGAGGTTGTTGGGAAGACGAAAGAGATAGAGAGGTTGAAGGCGTATACGTGGGAGCAGGCTGGTAAGGCAGAGGCCAAGGAAGAGGACTAGTGGACTACGTATAGGTATATGTTGGAGGGGTTTGTAGATAGAGTCAAAGGGAGGGACGGGAGCAGGATCTGGACTGATGGCGGTGAGAGTATCGCGCAGATAGTGGCGACGGACGCTACGTATAAGCGTGCGGGATCACGGGTCAGGCCGTCGAGGGAGGTGATTGAGTGGGATGGTGATGTGACATCCAGGTACGAAGACAACTAGCTAATTTTGTGTTGTCCTATTCTCACGAAACCATCCAGGCTTGATTTCTCAGAATACCAATTCAATATCAACAAGTTAACAACTACATCCAGCACTGTATAACTCAAGACTATCCAAAGACTCGGTCACGGCATCTTTCATAAAGGCAGTGTCTCGGTAATTTGCACATCTCGCAGCTATCATGCCGAATCACCCTTACCCTGAATAATCAATCAACAAATCTACGGTGTACACTCCTGTCAAAGCCCGATAAGCCCTATACCTACATCGGCTACAACCACTATGATGCTAAACAAACTAAGCTATACCAAGCTCTCCTTACCTGCCACATACGAAGCTTCTCTTATACATCTGCTTAACTACAAGCATGTCTCAGGGCACTGTACTCGCCCTGCTCTCGTATCTGTACTAGCAACGTGCTTACATTGTAAAAAAAAATTGTTCCGAAGATCTCACCCTGTCGAGAGAAGAAAAATGGCTCATTTGTATAGTATGAATGTGTATATATATAAAAACAAGGGACTGGGTACATATGCAAGCTTGTTTTTTTCCTTCCTTCCGGGGTTACCGGATATGAACCACGCAAAGTAGACTTTAAAAAAATCTTATTCGAACTGAGTCGACCAATTAACGGCGAAAAAAAAATGAAAGTACAACTGCTGGCGCTGCTTGCGAGTAGCCTGGCGGTACTTGCCTCAGCAAGAACACCTGCGTCTGCGCCGTTGAAGGGCCGGCTTGAGAAGAGGCAATGGGCGTATGATGCGCATACGATTGATCAGCCGGTATGCTTCTTATCTTGCTAAAAAAAAACAGTCCTGGCGACTCTCCTTGCGTGATATTAGAGAGAAAGAGAGAAAAGTATTTTATGTTGACTTTTGGGGTGCGCTGCAGATTGATCATTTCCCGCATAGCGACCGTTACGTGCCGCATACGAATGGGACGTTTAAACAGAGATACTGTAAGTATCTACCTTGTCTAACTACAATGAGGTGAATGAACTGACCTTGCATGTGCCCTCAACAGTTTTCGACAAGTCATATTACAAGCCTGGTGGACCGGTTTTCTTGTATCTCGCTGGAGAGACATGGGGGGAGTGGACGCTTGACAATTTACAGACGGGAAGTGAGTTGTTCTGCATTCGAAACGAGGATATGGGTTTGTGACCAATGGGGGCTAACGATATGTGATTCTAGTTATACAGATTTTGATGAAAAAGTTCAATGGGCTTGGTGTTATTCTTGAGAACCGGTATTATGGGTATAGTTTCCCGTACAATACGACCACGACGGATGAATTGAGATTTTTGACTACTGAGCAAAGTAAGTAGATGGTCTGGGATCTTTGTTTTGATGATGATGAGGATGATGATGGACTAATGTGTGGTAGCTATTGCCGACAATGAGTACTTTAGACAGCACGTCAAGTTCCCAGGCGTTGATGCGGACCTGAGCAGTCCCGACACACCATGGGTCATGTACGGTGGCTCTCTTGCCGGCTCACAGGTAGCATTCACGATGAAAATGTACAATGAAATTTTCGCCGGCGGCATCGCTAGCAGTGCCACCATCACGGTCCAATACGAGTATCCCAACTGGTACAAGCCACTGATGAAGTTCGCCCCTTCAGACTGCATCTCCCGCATCATCTCCATAATCGACAAGATGGACGCCCTAATCGAGAGCGGCAACACAGCCGCCATCCAACAACTCAAAGACATCTTCGGCCTCGGCTCCCTCTCCAGTCTCGGGGACTTTGCCTCAACCATCTCTTTCCCCCTCGGTGGACCCTTATCCTATCCAACATACACCTGGCAAGAGCTCAACTGGGTCACCCGCGACGGCTCCAACGACTTCTGGCACTTCTGCTCAAACATCACAAACCCCAACCCGCCCGCCTCCAACCTCGCCATCGACACAGCTCTCTCCGCCCACTCCAACGGCGAAGCCTGGACCGGCCTCGGCAACTACACCGCCTACATCAAGAGCGTCGTCCTCCCCCTCTGCACTACCGGCCGCATCAACAGCACAGACAACGGCTGCTTCAGCACCCAAAACACCACTTTCTACGCAGACCCCACAAACACAAACACCCGCTCCTACCTCTACTCCACTTGCACGGAAATCGCCTCTTATCAAACCGCGCCTCGCACGGGGCCCTCGCTCATATCCCGCGTTCTGACGGTGGATTACAACCAAGCCTGGTGCAACCAATCTTTCCCCCCCGGCACTTACTCGCGTATCCCGCCCCGCCCGGAAATCGAGTACAACAACGTCTACGGCTCCTCCAACATGCGCGTCAAGAATCTCGCCTTCATCGACGGTGCCGCGGATGTGTGGCTCGATCAATGCTACCATTCTACGTTGCTAGATGGGATACGGGTGAGCAGTGATGATTATCCGAGTTATCTGATTGTGGATGCGGGGCATGTGTGGGATGGGGAGGGGATCGGGGATGTTGAGAAGGAGCCGCAGTTTATGCGTGAGGCGCATTTGTGGGAGATGAGGACCGTGGCGAGATTTTTGGAGAGGTGGAGGGAGAAGAAGAGGGGGTGAGTGTGTGTAATGGATTAGATATGGGGGGGGGGGGGGGGGGGGGTTCTAGTAATGTAAATATCGAGTTTGTTCATTGTGTTTTTGGGTGTTGATGCGATATTGGAGGCTTCCTCGAATGTCTATTCCCATCTCTTTTTCTTTCATCTCGCTGCTGGGAGTTTATAGACTCAACGAGTCGCTTAGAACGATGCTGATGCTATGATAGTGTATTGGGCGAGAAACAAAGAGGTGTATCTGATAAATCTTCTATTTAGACATGTCTTGTTAGCAAAGTCGCTAATATAAAATGTTGTCTTTAGAGAAATGTGTGAACCAAATTGAACGATGCGAGTGGAGGGGACAATATGCAGAGGAAATATGCAAAATCAGAAACGAAAGCATGTGGGTATCGGCACAGTACGTACTGGACCAAGAAGGTAATTGTCAACTTCACAGGACAAAAACAAAAATTCTTGAACAAGCCATCATAACCGTTTCTCTAAACAATCACACAATCTTTATTCTTTGCGTGCCTAGCGCATCCATGTGGCGAAAGGGGTCAAAACTCCACCGTTGCTCGAGCCCCGTTCCTGACGTAGACCAGCAGTCCATATGTGATAGTGCGAAGATATGGCAGTTGCCTACAATCCGGTAGCCCTCGGCATCACGCGTCCTCCTGAGAATAAGAGGGATCCTGCAGCCGTCTACGGCCCATACGCTGTCGCCTTGGACAAAATTGTGGCTTGTTACTGCGGGAAGCATGCCTGCTCGGAAAATGTACTGGTTCTTGCCGTGTGTTTCGAGTTCGGTACAGAAATGCTGTATTGCGGTTCGGTAGATACTCTCAGGAGGTCCCATTGCAGACGCGATATTACTTTGCATCATGGAAGATATCGAGCGAGTGTATGACGGATCTAGTAGCCAGTTGTATTGTGCAGGCCATGTTCTTGGATCCAGACTTGTTCGATTTGACCCGCTGCCTATCAAACCCATTAGATCGCGACCAAAGGTTTGACCATCTAGCCATCGTGCTGATGGGCCATATCCTTCTTTCGTCGTGTTGTCAATAGTTGCAAGACAATGTGCACGGACGGTGATAGATGGTGTCAAATATGGATCAATAGGCCATCTGGAAGGTATGTCAACTATTGTTGTCCAATCCATCTTGGCTAGCTCTGCAGCGCTAGAAGAGCTTCCGGATAGCTTTTCGAGAGACCGCCAGGGGCCCATCCTAGTTTCTTGGAATTGAGGATGTAGCGTCATGTCGCCTTGATGCTCTATCCAGTCCGGCACCCAAGTCGGTAACCCCTTTTCTGTATGCCGAGGTCCGAGAGATAATGATGCATATGCCAGAAGCTCAAAATCCTCTCGACAGGTGATGATGGCTGCAGCCGTACGCACCAAGACCTCCTCGATGCTTTGAGAGTAGTCGATAGTGATGAGGTTTTGCAGGCGTTCGCCCACCAGTCCCAGCAGGCTGTATACTTTGTCTCTTGGATCTGTAGAGCTGCAATGTCGTGATAGGAGTAGCAATGTAAGTAGATCTTTTGTCGGGGCGCTAGCCAAAGGATCCCAAGCTAGCGGGCCAGGAACTTGCAGTCGTGAAATCTTTGCTCGCCCACGGATCCGACTCATCAGGTTGGCGTCCATGGCACATGATGCGTCTCCCATGATCATCATGAGTTTTCGTGCGAGTGCCACCTCCTGAATTACCCATGCTCTGGAAACCCATCTCTTTGCAAAAAGCTTTGTCAGAGCTGATTGGCGTCTTTCGTTGTCTAGCCACAGGCTCCTGGATGCGAAGCCGAGGTCTTCTTCTCCAAGGTACACCAGGACCTGCGAGGCCCCAGCGTATATGTCGGCCATGAGCCCGGCCTGGTGATTTCGCTCTTCGATATTGTTATGGTTAATAGAAATGGCATCGATCCACAGGAATCTTTCCTGTGAGGGCAGTCTCAATCTGCGCAGTGCAGAAGCACAGTTTGAGGTTACCAGGAATTCCGCACTTTCTTCATCGCCTACATATGCGCAGCCAATGTGCTGGGAGAGGCTGTCGTCTCCATCTTCGGTTGCCCAGCTGTAGGAAAGTGCTTCATACTCAATGTCGGAGTCGAGACTTGAATGGAGAAGGTCACACCGAATTGGATCGTCAAGCGTGCCGGGGTAGAGGCACAGAATGCGAAAGTCCTCGCCATCTGCGTGACTCAAGGGGCGGTACCGGAAAGAGCTGTGGCCTGGCGACAATTGCGAAGATGTCCTGGGTCGCTGCATGGTGGCAACGTCTCTTGTTTGCGGGCGCTATGCTTAGATATGGCCGAAATAAAAGTTTGGTCAAGGCATGGACCCAGGCCGATCTTTCCGGATTGGGTGGTGGAAGAAGTGCTGATATGAAGTTGTGGACGGTGTGCATGGCGATAGGCTCGGCCGGGTGAGTCCAAACACTATCAGGCCAGCATGTTGTAGTACATCTAGAGTGGCTTCTAAAAATACGGGTAATTGGTAATATTTCAAGGGGCACACGCGTTGCGGCACGATGGGAGAGGAACGGCGCTATGGTAAGGACTTCAAATGCGTCGAGGACGCGTGGCGTGGCTGCTTCTGGTGTGGCTGTGACTGCTGACGTACGCCTCATGCACCACGCCAACCGAAACCACGACCCCGAACCCATCATGAACCTCTTGGGCATTGACGTATCCAGACTATATAGCAGCTATATAGCAGCTATGACTACGTCATTTACTTGAAAATCCCTTTAGGGACTCATCGTACTATGTAGCTAAAACTGCAATAATGTCTTACATCCTAACGTGTTGAAATAAGACGCACAACCGTAACCTTCACTAGACGCTCCATGATTAGATATATGTTAGGTACCCATTTATATCTACCCATTACGACAAAAAGAAACAGAGATTTTGTTTTCACAGAAGTCTTCGTGTCCATTCTTCGTTGCATTACCTTACCGCTACCGTTATTGTAACGGACTGTGCCCTAATGTAGAAATTACTACATTAAGCTTGGTAGCGCATGATGCAGCTCCTCTCGGAATTTGAAAGGTGACACCTTCTTCTTGCAATTAGTTCTTGACAACCTTCACTACTACTGTTGCCATCTCACGCTGCTTCTCGTTGTTGTTATCGTCATTCCCACCCTCGCCTTCCTTCTCACTCTCAACATCATTCTCGATGTCCGCCAAAATGGCCTTGCTCCAAACAACGTTTCACCTAACACAAATTGATAATGCCCGTTAGTGTCGGCCTCATACCTTCGCTAGGTTTGCATTATGTCATTTGAGCTGCAAAAGAACTAATTCAAGTTATTTGTAGACGTCTCAGCGATAGTGCAAGATTGTGCACGACACTCTCTTATAGAAAGAGCAGTTCTTAGATATCGCAGATGTCACCGCCGGTGTAGCAGTGCCTAATGAATAAAGCCTAGCGTACATACCACATAGTCCATATCCCTCAGAGATTCAAACAATCAATTCCACCTCCCCCTTTTTTCACAAAGGCCATAGAAGCAAACCGGTCACGACCATGCAGCACTCAACACAGAGTAGCAATAGCCACCACATGGGAATAAATACACCACAACTACGCATTACCTAGCCAAAGACAAATTCCATCCCCTCATGAGTAAGTCCAATTCTATTTGGTCAGTCTCGTGGGTGAATACTAACTCTTTGTAATGCAAAGAAAGAGCGATCCCCAAGTCCCGAGTCCAAACCAAAGCGTGTCAAGGTCACCAAACGTGAAGTTCGGTATCCCATAGTCACAGTCACTAGGGAGAGGAAGCTGACAGGTAGTGGAGGATATTAAGGGTGTACTACGAAGACGTTCAGGAATAGAAGGTTCCACACCACAAGGACATGGTGTCCTAAGTGAATCTGGGTGATCGCGTTGATCGACAGTCGGGTCCAGGCTATGCAACTGAGACATTTTGGGCATCGCTTCTTATCGTGGCAATTCATACATCATTATGTGTATTAACTGATACGGGCTATTTGAAGTGTCTAGATACAGGATTTGTCTAGGATGTTTGTTTTGCAGTAATCAACCAAGGAAAAAATTTCAACAAAGCTTCTTCGGCACTAAAACTTAGAAACTATGTTTTGCGGTCTCGAAAATCGAAAAGGAAACGGTCTTGATACTCAATTGTTCTTCAGTGATCGTACATTCTTATCAATTCTGGAGCGGTTGTGGGCAGTTGTGAGCGATATGTGCGTCCAGCTCTTCGAAGGATGCCACTAGTCAAGAAATCCTTGATTAGAGCTAATAGTAGGGGGCACTATCGAAGAACTAATTTGATTTATGCCCTGTTTCACATATCCACAATCCATTCCCTCATGGCTACCCTCAACTTCTCTTCCACACCGTGCTCTACCCAAAAATGACCCGCATCTGCAACCTCTAGACTACGGAACCGCGATCCAGGACTAGCTTTTAGTTGCTCAGCCCAGTCGCGGAGCTTCTTGGCCGATGCAAAGATATCCTGGTCCCCATAAATGGCCAGGGTCACGTGCTTGCCAACCGTCTCCTGGTGATCATCCTTGGACCTACTCCAAAACTTGTGCATCAGAGCTGGGGCGGCTAGCGAAGACAAAGGCGGCGTCAGTGGCGAGATGAGAAGATATCGGACATCAGGCACGGTAAAATTCGTGGTTTCCACCTTCGTCGGCGTCGTGACCTCGGCATTGTCACGCCTTCTGTGGCTTAAGCTCCTTAATCGTGTACGTATTTCTAGGCGCGAGCTCCCCTCCAGACTTCGTCTCACTTCTCTACTGCTTCTCCTCTTACCCGGACTGGTCTCTTCTCCGCCCATTGTAATCGAAGGGCGTGTGTTGTGCTTCGCTCGGTCCTTCCTCCTAGCTCGGGTTTCATCTCGAGCCAGCGTGACCCATTCCATATTGCTTTGATCTGCCAATTTGCTGGCACGAAGTACAATTTCTTCTGCTGCGGAGCCTTCTGGCGGGGCAGCAAATGGCTGCAGAATGGTTAAAACGGGTGGTAGGTTCCGAAGAATAAGAGATCCATAAGAGTAGCCTCCCAGTACAACTAGAGGGTAAACGTCGCTCTGCACTGGCGCCGATTCACTAAAGTTCGGGGACATTGGGGATTGCTCCGACGCCAAGAGATTATATGGTAAAGAAGGCTGGAGATTAGAAATGTAGTGCATGAAGAAGGCTGCGAAAGAAATGTAGTCGTCTAGTTCAGGTTTTCCTGTCCAGCTCGTTCGTCCTTTGGATCCGTGTGCTCCTCTAGGATAAGTGAGTCAATGGCTGTATGCTCGGGGTCCGCTTGCAAGGACATACCGGAAATTGAACACACCCACTATGAAGCCAGCATGCAAGAACTCGTCGATTACGATCCCAACTATGCGATCATCAAAGCTTCCGCCCATGGGTGCGTATGGGTGTGCCATAACTATCCCTTTCCTGCTCCATTTTGCTATATCATCGGGGTTGTCCGGCCGCAGTAGAGCATCAGGTTGATAAATGCGACAATCGAGCGTTGTGTCATCGTGTATCGAGGGTATCGAAAAGCTGTAGTGAGCTTCCGGTGGACGGCGCATTTTCTGGGTCGGAGAGAGACCCAACACAGGTCCTCATCACATTCCCGGAGTATCGGATGCTGATGAGTATTAACGGGGAACACGTCGGTGGATACTTGGGTGGGGCCTTGGTTGCGGGAGCGCTAAGAAGGTAAGTACGTATATTACAGGGCCGTGCGTAGCCGCGACTAAGTAGCACCATGGATGGAAACGAGAAGATGGCTGCGAATCCTTCTCGCGTGTATACAAGCGTATCATGATTATGAGTCATTTTGGCTCATGTACTGTTGTTTGCTATATTCATTGTATTGGTCTGCACCGCCGGGTCGAAGTGGTCTCCCTCGCTGACCGCGCTTTGATTACAAGAAGTCCAAGCTGATATTCTGGCAACTGGGCACATGGGTGTTGAAAAGCTTTTTTCCCCTTTGAGACACGTTGCTAATATGTACTTGACAAAATCACCTCTCCTTAGCTTACAATCCCCTTTACTACTCAAGCTTATCCAGCGCAATCAACCTACCGTCCTCCAGCCCCACCAATCTATGCGGTTCCACCTCCTCCCTGTATTCTTTACTTTCGACAGTTTTCTTGAACCCCTCCAGAGTCTCGTACCTTAGAATCGCAACAAAATCCCAGTCTTCATTCTCTGCGACAACAATCTTAGCCAAGATGGTGCTGCTGAAGATGACACTGGTGTTGGGTGGAAGTAAAGGGGCGATGGCAGCGCGGTAGCGTCCCAACGCCTCTTTGCCTGTACATGCGTGACCGGCGAGGTGCACATGCTCACGGCGGTAGGAAGCCTCTTTTCGGTATTTCCAGAGGTTGAGCATATAGACTGGTTTGTTGGGGTCGTAGGTGGAGGGGAGAATGGAGAGAGTGGCGAACGAGATGGGATCGTTGAGCATCTTCGTGTAGAAGTAATTGACTACTATGTCTTTTACGTTTGACTTGTTTAATGAAATAAGGACTTGGTGGTTTGAATACTGAATTTTGAATCTGGTCATTATTACTTGTCAATTATATACATTGTTTGATAACCTCAAAGGATTGTGAGTATTGCTAAGCTTGCGCAGTTCCACCTCGGAAAGCACTGCTAACTCTAGCGCTAGGCAATTTGAAGGCAATTGTGGACATGGCGATAGTGGAGTCTGGCCACCCTGCGAGCAAAAGGGCGCATATTTGTTTTATGTTGGGGCATAATGTGTTCGATTTGTGCGTATGATCAGTAGTTTCTCCAAATCCAGCCTCTCCTCTTGAACGTTCATCTCCTAAGTATGTACATATGTAGTGCTTCTTATCCACCTGTAGCTAATTTTATAGCGGATTTATTCGTTTTTTTGAACGTGCCAATAGATTTTAAGAACTTTAAAGCAGCATAATGTCACAGTCGCATGGAATGAGCAATCTATTCGTTTATCCAGTCACCTCAAGCCCATCTATACATTCATATCTCATCTCCTCACCTCGCACCCTACCAACCCCCTCATACCTTTAGAGTATAAACAACATTGTTCCCAGGCTGTCTAGGATAGAACTCAATTGTTAGTGTTGTATCTTTGTTCGCGGCCCTCACCGCATCCACCGCCGCTGCTTTAATAATCACATTATTAGCATCCCAATCCCACTGATTGCCATAGGTCATACGGCCTTGCTGGAGAGGTCCGAGGTACTGGGTCCAGTCATCGACGAGGTACGTGCCATCTGACTTTTGTGCCTTGACGGCAGCGGGCCTGTTGATGCCAGCCCATGCGACGGGGATACGTAAGTCTTGGCCTGCGGCTGGCAGGGGGCCGGAGGTGCTTGATAGCACAGGGGTAGAGTACTGGAGTACGTTTACTTGTAAGGCGGCACCACGGTTGAATGTCAGAGTGAGGTTTGTTAGACTTCCTGTTGGAGAAGAGGGCGTGATGATAGTGCTGAGATAGGCGGCTTTGAAGGTGATGTCTTGGCCTGAGAGGGTGAAGTCTTTTTCTTTTGCAAGTTGTCTGCTACCCTTGCTGATCTTGCTCAGGGTGTTACCGTTGAAGGTGAAGCTTAGTGTGACGTCCTTGACCGTCTCGTTCTTCGCGTGGTAGATGTACGCAGAGCTTTGCTGCGTAGTGATGGCGCCGTCTGTAGTACTGGCTGGCAAAGCATTTGGGATACCTTTTATCGCATTGCGGAAGATATCCATGGCCACTTCGTCCCTCCAGATGTGGGTGGCTCTATTGAGAAAATCCGCACCGTTATCCCACAAAACGGTCGACATGTTGTACTTTCCGGCGGTACGCACGAAAAAATCAAAGTAACGCCATCTAGCAGCTGTTTCTGTAGCTACAGGTGATACGGCCCACTCCCCGATGACGATTGGGACATCCGTGAAGTTTGACCGTACAGCAGCGAGATCACCTTCGAGAGAGGCCTTGTCGGCTTCGGAGCCCCATGTTGTCTTCCCCCACGCTTGAAAAACGTAATCGTAAGGACTGTAGTAATGGAACTGGATACCCCAAGGATTCTTAAACTTGTCATCCGGTTTCTTAAACCAAAGACTCGTCTTTACTCCATCTTCACCCGCTCCAACCAACGTAACCACTCTCTTCGAATTATGGCCTCCTGCCTCATTAATCTTCTGCAAAAAGATGTCATTCAGACGATTCACAATCGCCCCATGTTCAGGTGTAGTCCCCGGGATCTCGTTGATTGGCTCAAACGCTACCAGTTCGCTCTTACAGGCTAGCTTGGTCCCAATCTGCAGCCAGAGTTTACTAAAGCGTTCCTCTAAAGCCGTAACGTTGGTGCTCGCTGATGTCAGGTCTGCCCAAGTCCAGCTATCGTGATGGACGTTGACTATGGCGTACAAGCCGCGCTGGGTCACCATGTCGACCACGTCTTCGACTCTTTGGAGCCATGCTGGGTCGACCGTCCAGTTCGGACCTTGCGATGTGAAATGATAGGCCCATGTGACAGGGATTCTCACACTTTTGAAACCGGCTCGTTTTACATCGTCAAAAGTGCTAGCTACGACAGGCGGATTATTCCAGTCACCCTCGTTTTGAACAGCATCCAGTGTGTTACCAACATTCCAGCCTGGATTCAGTTTTGCGAAAAATGTTCCAGCGGAGAGGGGAGTAAACTTCGAGGTGGAAGGGCATACGACTCCAGTGGAACCGTTTGTTGCTTGGTAGTTCGTCAGTACAAAAATGTCTCCATTTCCTGACACCCCAAAACCATCTTTCGTTCCCAGGAAAATACATTACGTACGCTGGGCAACGGCAACAGCGCCGTTAAGCAGCAGCACCGCTGCACTCGAATGTGTAATCTTCATGTCGGGTGAGAATCTGCCAAGACACGTACAAAACCTCTGCTGAACACTACTCACATATTATGAACCCCGGGGAGAAAACAACTCAAATTATATACATCCTCGCCACCCCCATCGCACCATCATATCCCCTCAAATAACAGCACTATACAACTTTAAAATAAATGAAGTCCATCTCCTCCCAAACCCAGCCCAACTAGCGTCGCGAGACACCCCTCCCCCTCAATCAAGCTTTCTGCCCTTCCATATTACCCCATCCCGCCGCTTCGCCGCTTCGGCCGAAATTGTTTCTAGAAATTTTGATTCCGCTCACTGCAGCTCTGATGCAATGGAAACCCGGGTCGAAAAGCGGGTAGATGCGAAAATGCGATTGGTTGCGAAGCAGGTACATATTAGGGGTGATTTAATAAGGGTTCGCCCCATCTATATTACATACTTCATATGCGCAGGTTCCCGAGTCCGGGCCTATTTTCCAGATTAAATCAGGGCAACTTGGGGGGTTTTTAGTTTGGTTTGCTGTTTTTCCACCAAAGACAGCGCGGTTTTTTGTATTAGAAGGAGAGGTCACGACAATAAGGGAGTTTTCTCCTCTTCTTCTAGTTTGCTGCAGCTTATAGTGTATATGGACGGGAACACATCTCGCGCAACGGGTTATCAATTTTTCCCTTTTTTTCCTTCATATTTTCTACACTAATAATACAAGAAAGGCTTCTGCAATATCCAGAAAGAACTATGCATACTGCAAACACATCATATCGCTCTAGAGTTGCAATATCTTGTCTTTGTAAAACGATGTTAGAGTTTATGTTGTGTCGCTTGCCAGAGAGCGAACAAACACCATGACACCATGCTAAAAATATACCTCTTATGCAAGACTCAGTAACCAGACGGAGGAAAATAAGAAAAAGCTACCAAGGACATAGACGAAGAAAAAAAAAGAATCAATTCGTTGACGAAGAAAAAAGGACCTGCCAAACCCCCACCAAAAAAACGCCGAGATGATTATTCGAACAGAACTGTGAAAATATGTCGCCATTTTGTTGCGTGCACCGCTTGCAAGGAACAAGGAAAAAAGCGATACAAGAGGAAAAAAAGCCATTCCCTGACGTGTTTTATTGAGGAACCCAGAAAAAGATGAGTCGGGAACATCGAGTACCTTCGTGGCAGTAGGGAGACGGTTGTTTGCATCCCGAAAACGGTTGGCTTCGTTTCGTCTCGTGTATGTATGCAAGTCGATATGCGTTATAGATCAACGCGTCGTTTGAAAGTGGGTCTCGTCATATGTATGTATGCAGATCCCATAGAAAGGCCGAAGGTGCGGAATATAAAAGTTCCATGTTAGGAACTACTCAGGACGTGGCCTCTTAGCGCCGTGTGGGTTTTGCCAACTGCCATCGTTACCGCCCTGGCCTTGGAAGAATCCTGGATTGAAGCCTGGGTTGCCGCCAAAGCCACCTCCTGCAAAAGTAGCGTTAGCCAGTGTTTAAGACATGAAATAACAAGTGTGGGGTCAAGTCACTAATACGAGAATCTCTCAACATACCCATTCCTCCCATCATACCCATGTTGC